GTGAGCAGTATCAAGGAAGCGACCTCGCCCCTTGGTATCAGGATAAGGCAAAGAGAGCCGCCATAAAGCTGTGCAACCCAGAATTGCGGGTTGACAAGTTTCTGGAGACGAGCAGTGGGTTCGTGTGGATAGAGGTGGCTAATATACGTATGTATAGCTGCTACTTCTCACCCAACGACCCACTGACAAACTTCGAAGCCAATATCGAAGACCTAGAAGCGAGCCTCACAGAATCCAGGCTGGATGTCATCATCACTGGTGATTTTAACGCAAAGTCGCCAGAGTGGGGTGAGACGAGACTCGACAAGAGAGGAATTCGTATTGGAGAAATGATCTCCAGAAACGACTTATTGGCAGTAAACCGAGGCAATACATGGACTTTTAGACGAGGTGCGATCGGATCAATTATAGATCTAACAATCGCATCGTCTAAACTATTTAGCCGCATAACCGACTGGCGGGTCTCTGAGGAATATACCGCAAGTGACCACCAGTATATTGAGTTCTCAGTCTCGATGGGAGACACACGAGGAGGAAAAAGACAGGATGCTCCTAGTCGCAAAACCTCCTCGTGGAATATGAAGAGACTCGACAAGGAAAAGTTCGGCCGGTCCCTAAGAGAAGCCCTTTTAATTGAGGACTTGGGCTGGGTGAAGAGGCCGAGCAGACTGGATGCGGAGGTGCGAGCGGTGAGGAACATGATAGTCACCGCTTGCAATGCGTCAATGCCACGCAAAGGCGCCACTCCCGTAAGAAAATCCTTGCACTGGTGGTCAGAGGAGCTAGCCTCCTTGAGAAAGGAATGCCTCAAAGCAAGAAGGACATATACCCGATCTAAGGGAGATCCCTTGCTGAAAGAGGCTTTCAAGGAGGCGAAAAAGAACCTCAAGAAAGAGATCCGGAAGTCGCGACGCCATAGCTGGAAGGACCTAATCGAGGAAGTCGATAAGGACCCATGGGGTCTGGCTTTTAAAATCGTAACTAAAAAATTAGTGACGAGGCAAAAGACACCCGGTCTGGACAATCCCGATTGGGTCAGAAAGATAATAAGTTCTTTGTTTCCTCCTGCGGAGCCATACCTTAGAAGGGACTGGAGTTTTTGCAAAGTCGAAGAGGAAGAACTCTTCACACTTAGTGAACTGCAAAAAGCAGGCAAAAGATTGAAAACAGGCAAGGCGCCTGGAATCGATGGGATAAGTAACGAGATCCTAAAGTTGGTAATCGACACTTCACCCCAGATTCTGCTTCGATGCTTCAATCTTTGCCTTGAGAGAGGAGAGTTCTTCCGCGACTGGAAGCGACAGAGGTTAGTCCTCCTAAGGAAAGGTGAAAAACCTCTAGATAAGGTTTCATCGTACAGGCCTATATGCCTGCTAGATACGATGGGTAAACTTCTAGAGGATATGGTTCTGCAGAGAATGCAAAGCCACTTGACCGAAGAGAATCGTCTATCCGATCACCAATTTGGTTTCCGTAAAGGCAAGTCCACGGTTGATGCCATCCAGGCAGTTGTGGACATAGCCAAAGCAGGAAAAAACAAATTGGGACCTGGGAAAAAGAAGAGCTTCTGCGCGTTGGTAGCAATTGACATACGCAACGCGTTTAATTCCGCAAGATGGAATAAGATCTCATCGAGTCGATGGAAAAGAAAAACATGCCGCCCTACTTGTTGCGGATAATGGATAATTATCTTAGCGACAGGTGGGTTATATATGAGGGAGACACCTGCACTCTCAGGGAAGAGATGCAGCGTGGGGCTCCTCAAGGCTCGAGGGTGGGTCCATTTGTATGGAATGTATCTTACGATGATTTTCTGCGAATGGATCTGCCCGAAGGTGCGGTGATCATCGGCTTTGCGGACGACGCGTTATTCGTGTGCACTGCCGAAAGTGAGGAGGCTCTTGGGACATTGGTGAACGAACCCTGTAAAAAAAAAAGTATTGGGAGGTACGGGATTCCGTATTGCAAGTGCCAACCTGCCAATGCGGTATTCGCGAAATACCGCATTGGGTGTCGTGGTGAATACGGAAATCAAGGGGTCCCAATGCGGTGCAAGTTTTAAGCTTTAAAAAAACGAAAATACGTGACAGGAGGAAATAATTAGTGTCAGTGCAGAAATATGCGAGTTAAAGGAATGAGAAAATAATAATAGTGAGTGTAAAAATGAAACTTTAAGAAAAAAAGGTAAGTTGAACTGTCAAATATGAGTCCAATGCGGCGTAGGCTGCTTTCAATGCGGTACACAATCGGTACATAGTGCAAGTCGCCAGTAGAGGGCAGAAGCAAGCAGAGCGAATCGAGCGAACACAATGGCCCAGCTGACATATGATTTGCATTACATTACTTTCCAATTTTTTATTTTATAACCACGTTTCTGCATGAATCTAAACAATATTTTCGATTATTGTAATTTAGAAGATGCTTACCAATTGTACGTTGGCAGATTTAGTGAAAAGTGTCTGTGTACGGACACAAATGTGTTAGAAAATGTTTGTTTACCTATTTCACACCATTTAAACCAGTCAAAGTTGCTTTTGCTGTGGCGCATTGAAATCAGCCTATGCCGCATTGGGCCCATATTTGACAGTTCAACTTACATTTTTTTTTTTAAATTTCATTTTTACACTCACTATTATTATTTTCTCATTCCTTTAACTCGCATATTTCTCCACTGACACTAATTATTTCCTCCTGTCACGTATTTTCGTTTTTTTAAAGCTTAAAACTGGCACCGCATTGGGACCCCTTGATTTCCGTATTCACCACGACACCCAATGCGGTAATTCGCGAATACCGCATTGGCAGGTTGGCACTTGCAATACGGAATCCCGTACCTCCCAATACTTTTTTTTTACAGGGAATGTCTGCGACTAGCTAAAAGCTGGCTGGATACCAGAGGTCTTGAAATGGCCCTGGAAAAGACCGAGGCACTGCTGGTCACAGACAGACGTGGTTATGAGCTCCCACGAATCGTGATAGACGGATTCGAGGTCAAGTGGAGTAAGCAAATTAAATATCTTGGTGTGGAGTTAGATGGAAAATTAAACTTCCACCACCACATGGCTACGGCGTCAAATAAGGCGATCGAGTGTGCGGCTAATCTTTCACGGCTAATGCCAAATGTTGGCGGACCCCGTGAACAAAAAAGAAGACTGGTGGCGAGTGTCGCCCACGCTAAAATGCTCTATGCAGCACCAGCGTGGGCCCCATCCCTGAGGAGTAAAAGATGTGTGACCATCTGTGAAAAGATACTGTCTGCGCAGAGATCGATAACAACGCGTATCATCTCTGCATATAAGACGGTATCTACGAGTGCTGTGCAGGTCCTTGCAAGTGTCCCGCCAGCAGATCTTTTGGCGAGGGAAAGGGAAGAAATGTTTCTCTTTTCTAAAGAAAGCAGTTCCTTGAATGAGGAATTAAGACCAAGCAAGGGCCTGATCCGCAAAGAAGCGAGGCACAGGCTCATAGAAAGATGGCAAGAAAGATGGGATGGTGAGGAAAAAGGTCGATGGACTTATTGCCTTATCCCGGCACTTGCCACCTGGATAAACCGAAAGCATGGAGAAGTCTCTTATTATCTGACTCAGGCGCTCACAGGTCACGGGTGTTTTAACTCGTACCTGTGCCGCTTTAAATTACGCGAGGACGAGGTGTGTGCATATTGCCAGTTCCCGGAGGACAACGCGGAGCACACCCTCTTCTCATGCAAGAAATGGGACTTGGAGAGGCAGGCCATGTTCGAAGGTGTAAACAGTCAAGTTACACCGGAGAACATGGTATCGCTGATGACCCAGTCAGAGGAGAATTGGCGGCAAGTCGAGAACTTCATAATCTCGGTTATGTCGAGGAAGGATCTCGACGGCCGCCAGAAAGCGTAATTTAAACAGCTTTTAATTTTGTTCGTTTGTTTTTTATTAATTTATTTTGTGATTTATTTGTCCTTATACATTTTTTAATTGTTTGTGTTTTTTATTTATCTTTGTACAGTTTTATGTTTTCAATTTTTTATACGCGTTTATTTTTTCTTTTTTTTTATATATCCGTTTATAATTTTATCTTCTGACTTTTTACACTTAATTACACATTTGTTATTCTTAATTATTGTTGTGCTGTTAATTCCGCTTTATATTGAAATAGTTGTAAATTTTTAACTATTAACGCAGGATGACCGCAGAGAAAAGCAGAAAGTCGCAGTAGCGACAGAGTTGGAGCGCCACCCTCGAAGGCTAAAGTCTTACGACAGTTCCGAGGGAGGGTAAAGGGCTCCAGAAGAAGGGTTACGGGTTTTAGTGGGTCGGGCTGGCAGTAGGTTGCCAGTTTATTAAATTTACTATTTTATATATTTATTTTTCTTTTTTTATCTCCTTTTGTTTTATCACGCCAACCCCACATAACCTTGGAGTGCGGAATCCAAGGTATCTGTAGGCAGATTTCCCAAAAGTCCCTAAGCAAAAAAAAAAAAAAAAAAACGTGGACAGTTGAATTATTTTAAAAAATTGAATTTTCATATTTTAATAATTTAATTCCAGAAGAACTTTCGGAAAAATATTTAAAATAATTTGTTTAGAGATGAAGTTTAGTTGAAAATTATAGAAAATAATTGAATTCAGGAAGGGTTATTAATTGTAATTTTTATAAATTATTAAATAAAATAAATTTTACTCATCTTCTGTAAACTTTCATATTTTCCTGTGGAAAGAATTTTAGGGAAATTAATTTTAATGTCAGTAAATTGTCAGGGAAATTGATAAACTGAAACTTGTGACCACCCTGTTCATTTGATGTTTTAAAGAAAGATTGTCTTGAGACAAACATTTAAATAATACATGGTTCCCACAGAATCTGGAAATCATGGAGAAGGCATGGAATTTTTAAATTTTATAAATTTTTCAAGCTTTGCTTTATTTCTCTTTGACAATTTTAAAATTTTCCAAATACATTTTTTCTGAAATTTTTAAACTTTTTTTTGTAAATTTGAATCAGTGAAATTGGAAAAACGACCCGCAAAACCTAGAATTTTGAATTCGATTTTTCGTAGGAACCCTGTATTACTACCGTAAATTCCCCAGTTATACCATCTGGTTTACCTGAAATAAAAATTTTACTCAAAGATAACAGTAATAAACTACCTATTTTAAAATTTACCTTTATGTTTACTTGTATATATGTAAATCAAATCGTAGAAGAAACTGGAGAGGTGGAAGAAGAAGAAGAAGAAGAAGAAGAAGAGGACAAGCAGTTCCATATCAGAATCCTGGTAAGAAACATAACAGTGTTTTAATACACATTAATTGACATTATAAAAAGCAATTTTTTGTATCCATCGCACGAGACGATCCCGTTAATTTGCATATTTCTTGAAAAATGCTTTGGGACAGTAATTTTGTGATACTAAGGGATATATATTTATCTTATCATAGCATAAAGCTTTATATGAGACATTTCTTTTAGATGTCGAAAGAAATTGGGAACAGCAGAAATTGGACGAAAACTATGAGAGGGTCACTTCATTGTAAGTTTACAAACGCTTGCAGTTAATTTAATTAATTTTGTCACTTTTTAAAATAAAACTGAAAGTCCCCGAAATGACATACTTTCCGTATTAATTAAACTTATAGGTTTTCAGGGTTTACAGGAGTGAAGGTCGAGTGACCGAAACAAAAATCATCGTATAATAAATCATACGATACTTTTTATTCCAAATGCATAAAAGTGTCGATTTCAGATAGCAGACGGACAGAGAGTAAAAGTCATTATATTGTTCGACTTGTATGAAAACATTGAACGCCATTTTCATACGGTCGAACAAATGAATTACTTTACACTCTGTCGTCAGCTATCCAAAAGCGCCATTTTTGTTCATGTGGGATAAAAAGGTTTTATTTTCTCAAAAATCTTGACCTAACAACAGACCACAAAATAATAATTGTTATTTTTGCAACAAAAGTTCTAGTTTGGTTCACAGCTACAGATCGATTTTATATTAACAGAAAAAAAATTTCATATATTTTAAAATTGACTTTTGCGAATCGGAAAACATTTTTTAGCAATGAATGCAAACTTGAAACAAAAATAGGCCACTAGACAAAAAAAAACTAGTCTAGGTTCGCAATGTGAATAAGTTTGACAATAATTAAGTTAACGGTGTTCGAACAAGAAAAACCTTTAAAAATGGCTGTCAGAACTTATGCTTCATCTGAAATGGATTATGTATTATCACAATTGAGACATTTATCGCAATTTTTAAAAAATCAGCCGGAATCTTGAATGGTTGTACTTTCATTTTCTTCCAATAAATTGAATATTTATACATAAATAGAAAGATAGGAAGTAAACTAGAACCACACAAGCGAAATATAAACAAATTAGTGCTATTAAAAAATATCTTCAGAGGGCAGCACCCACCGGGTACATAGAAATCTCTTAGTTTACTTCCTATTGTTGCATATGTTAAAAAGTCTTTAATTTCTTAGACTCAAATTAAAGCAAAAATTTTCAAAATTCCGGCTCATTCTTTTTAAATTACTATCAATGTGTCAATTGCGATAAACATTCGTATCAAAAAAAGTATAACTTCTGACCGCCATTTTTAAATACCTTTCTTGATCGAACACCCTTAAGCAACTAAATATCCTTGTCATTTTAACTAACTGTTCCTAGTTGGCATCTTTACTATAACATAAAAAAAATAATTGATTCCTTGTAAACAGGTGAAAGATGTTTTTTTAAGTGTATGAAATTCGGTCGAATTATTTTTACCTGGGTATTTACTTCTGTTTTAATTTTGTTTCAGAACATCCCAATATATAAGCGATTTGTTAATTGTGACTCACAAAGTAGTGCCGCCTTTAAAAATATCTATATCCACAGAACATGTTATAGAATTGTGTAAAATGACGATACAAACTTATAATATGAAATTTAATTTACAATTGGTAGATACTGATTTGATATCTTTGATACTCGTCACACTTCTTCAAATAGAAGCGAAAGAGTGGACCGCCAGATTGAATAACCATACTGATAGTGAATATAGTAATGAAGTTTCTAAAAGAGTACAAAAAACAAAAGAGTTTTTGAAGAAGGCGGTATGTCCTTTATCAACCTATATTGCACAAATTGGAGAGGTGAATGTCAATGAGCAAATTATAGTGCCAAAAGTAATCGATCTAAAATATGAGAACTTTTCTGATTACATCGAAAAACTTGGCATTCCTCACCTATCTGAAGAAAATATTCCTGACCATCAACAAGTGATAAACAATTACTTAGCCTTCATGAATAGACTAGTTGTTAATAATGTGCCAAAAGAATTGATAGCTGCTATAGACTACGAGAACGCGAAAGGCACAGCAGCTCAGCTCGTAACTTCAAAATTCACAAATGACAAATCACGTATTATGATATGGAGTCATCGTGAGGTTGACGAAGATTCTATTAAAATAGGCGCATTATTTCGATTTGGGTTTGATATAGATAATTGCACTTTGAGGTCTTACAGTAGCAGACAGTTTGAAGTATTGTTCTATTCTATTCAACATTATATCTACCCATTTGTGGATGATTTAAATGTCAACCATAATCGGTATAGTGTATAACATTATAAATCAGAGTTTAATTATGTATTGTTAAGTGTGTTAAAATTTTTTTAATCGTTAAGATTTTTTTATGAAATGTAAATCTTATATATACACTCAGAAAAAAATTTGTTCGAAACAACCAAATTTTGGTTGAATTAACCAAATAAATGAATTGCTATACAGTCAACCAAACGTTTGTTTGATTCAACCAAAAAATTTCTTCCAATACGTTTATTTGTATTAACCAAATGCTTATTACACTTAACCAAAAAATTTTATTTAATATAACTAAAAAATTTGTTTATTTCAAGAGAAAAGATTTGTTTGATTCAAATAAATAGTTCTAGTAAACGTATTTGGTTCATTTAAATAAATATTTTTGTTTACTTAATTTTGTTATTTATTTTCCTCTAATAATATTTGAATTTTCTAATTTAATATTTTCTAGTACATATTATTGGTTAATTTATAATTTATTATATAATTATTGATATTTTAAAATTATACATATAATAAATTATAAATTAACCAATAATATGTATACTACCCTGTTTAAAAAATTTGATAGAAATGGAAAGAAAAAAATTTCTTTCCATTTCAATCCTGTTTCTGAATCAAAAATTTTCAACAATTACAATCAGTTTCTATCACATAATTTTAATAGAAAGTCTATCCAAATCAATACTTTGTCTATCCGAAAATTGTCCCATGCGTTGTCCCACTGATTTCGAAGAAAGTCCTATCAAATTCTATCAAAATTGATTATTAAAAATTGTTTCCAATCCAATAAGATTTTTTGATTTAAATTCTATCAAATCCTGTATCGAAAAATAACAAAAAGTTCTTTCCCATTGTATCCGATTGAAAACATAGTTTTAAAAAAAAATTTGTGGAAAAAATAATAAAAGATTCTTATGACCATTAGTAACATTATATTCTTAGCACACTCCAAACATACAAACATTCTAAATTAAACTGGAGGAATTAAATTAAAACTTGTACCCTATGGGAATCGAACCCCGCACCTATGACCTATCTATCTAAACGCTTAACGACCGCGGCTATCGAATCGACGTGAGAAATATTTTTCGACCTGTCTATATAAACTGCAACTTTGAAAAACGTAAGTTTATGTAAAATATTATAATTTTTGTAAGTACCTAAAAAAATACAAGCAGAAATTAAAATATTTATAGAGATTTGCAATATATGCTATTATGTTAAAAATATTAATTAAATATTTAATACATTTTTGCTCAAATGTCATTTGACCGCTTTGTAATTTTTTGCAAATATTTGCAAAAAATAACATTAAGCGAAATAAAAAACAGAAAATTCGTAAAAATTAAAATTCGCAAAATGACTGGGTCAGGCCAGCTCAACTGTGTTAAAAAAATTTCAATGATTTTCTAAAATATTAAAACTTTTATGAAACTCTGTAGTTCACAACAAAACAATAAAACACTTTTAATCGTTTTTTGAAATTTTTGTTATTTTTTTGCATTAACAAAATATTACAAACTTTAAAAAAAATTAATAACTCAAAAGTCGTTTACCATAAATTAATAAAATTTACACTGATTACACAAAATTGTTCACTCTTTTAAAAGAAAATATTTGCATGATTGTAAATTTAAAAATTCCCTATTTTTAATAACAATTTTATAAACAATTTGAATTATTTTTGTGTTCTCTACCCCTCCAAATGCAATAAAACTCATAGGAAGTATACTCAGTAGTCTTTTCTTGAAGCTCCTAATAAACAATTTTGGTATTTTCAATTTGGAATGTACCTAACGAATTTTTTATTAAAAACGCGCGTCCACTCCACAATGGGAAAAATTTGATTGTCGTGGAAAATTCAGTCTAGAAGTTACAAATATTATTTGTTTTTAATAAATTTTTTTAAATGAAAGTTTATAAAATTGTGCACCAATCAGATTAAATCTGATATCTTAACTTTAAAAAATATTATTGCTACGCATTTGTTAACTAATATTTTGGAAATTTTTTCCTCTTTTGTTCATATATGTTGTTAAATAAAAAATATTTGTTAACAGTTTTCAAAATTCTACCGCCACAGATCGGTGCGCAATTTTACAAAATTTCATTTAAAAAAAAATTATTAAAAACAAATAATATTTGTGACCTCTATAGACTGAATTTTCCACAACAATCAACTTTTTCCCACTATGGAGTTGGCGCGCGTTTTTAATAAAAAAATTCGTTATGTACATTGGGAGCGTTCACAAATGATGTCACGTTTTTGGGGGGAGGGGGGGTCTCCACTAAACGTGACACAATGAATTTTTACATGTGAAATTGCATGAAATTGAGAAAATTTTTTAACACAGTTTAGCCGGTCTGACCCTACTATTGGCAAAATTACAAATAGCAACTGTAACAAATTCATAAAAATATCAATTCCAGAAATGCAAATTTGCAAAAATAAAATTTGCAAAACAACAATTAGCAGAAATAATGATTCATAACAGAGCAGTTTTGCAAAAAAGAAAAAATAACAATTAGCAAAAGTATCTAACAATTTGTAAAACTGTCAATTGCGAAGAATGCAAGTTTGCAAAAGTAACAAATTTGCAAAATAACAGTTTAGTAAAATAAATATTTGTAAAAATGTAAATTTGCAATAATAATTTTTTGCAAAAATAACTATTGGCGAAAATGACAATTTTATGAATTCCAATTCGCGATTAATCAAACTCTTTAAATTCCAAATAGAATGCATCCCCGAATAAAATTAAACCAAGATGACATTATTCAAGATCCAAACTCAAGCTTGTTGATTTTTAATTTGACATGACAAGTGAAATTTCATGTGGAAGGAATTTAATAGGTGTTCCATCAAAACTCATAGATAGAAAGTTATAAGACGTTTCAGATAATAGGATTTGGTAGAAAATGTATCCAGATCTTTGATAGAGAAATATAGTATTTTCTTGTTGAAAGAATTTGATAGGTATTCAATCAAAACTCATAGATAGAAAATTATAAGATTTTTCGACTCATAGAATTTGATAGAATTTGTATCCAAATCTTGGATAGAGAAATATTAAATTTTCATTTGGAAAGAATTTGATAGGTATTCAATCAAAACTCATGGATAGAAAACTATAAGAATTTTCGACTCATAAAATTTGATAGAATTTGTATCCAAATCTTGGATAGAGAAATATTAAATTTTCATTTGGAAAGAATTTGACAGGTATTCAATCAAAACTCATGGATAGAAAACTATAAGAATTTTCGACTCATAAAATTTGATAGAATTTGTATCCAAATCTTGGATAGAGAAATATTAAATTTTCATTTGGAAAGAATTTGATAGGTATTCAATCAAAACTCATGGATAGAAAATTATAAGATTTTTCGATTCATAGAATTTGATAGAATTTGTATCCAAACTCTTGATAGTAAAATATTGAATTTTAGTATATTATTAACTTTGATAGATAATACATCAAAACTTATGATAGGAATGGATTTAATTTTCTACTTTGGATAGAAGTGGATTGGATTTTTAATATTTGATTAAATTGGATTCGAATTTCAAGGATTGAAGGAAGAAAATTCTATCCAATCCTATCCATTTAAATAATTTTTTTAAACAGGGTAGAAAATATTAAATTAGGAAACTCAAACATTATTGGAGGAAAATAAATAACAATTAAGTAAAATATTATATATGTATTTCTTCATATAAACAAAATTACTTAATTATAAAAAAACATTTGAAATATTACATTAAACATATTATAATTATGATTTTTATACGTGCACTCAGAAAAAAGTTTATTCGAAACAACAAACTGAAAACTTCACAAAACCTTTTTGTAAATATTCTTCTCACTGGTACAAATTAATTAAATATGCAGTAAGTCAATGAACACAATGTATTTAATATTTATTTAACCGACACTTATAATTTTTTTTCTTTGATTTACCGATTTAACAAATAAATTTGACGCGAACGCGGACTGTAGACAAGTGAGATCGCCATTTTTAAATTCACACATGTACTTTTTGAGACAAGCAAATATGTTTGTTTGACTCAAATAAAATGATTTGGTTGAATCAAACAAATTTGTGTGTTGTGTCGAACAAACTGTATTTAACTAAACAATATTCTCTATTCAAAACACAAATTTGGTTAAATGAAACAAACAACTTCAAATAAAAAATTTCTTTCCAATAACCAAACAAATTTTACGTATTTATTAAAATAAACCAAATTTTTATTTAAATCAACAAAATTGTTTTATCGTGACAAATAAAATAGGTTAATTTAACAGTTTGGTTAAGTGAAATAAACTTTTTCTCTGAGTGTAACTACTCTAAAGTAGTTCAATTATAAATTCCAAAAATATTTTTTTAACTATCTTAGGGGCCGTCTATAAATTACGTAAGGCCATTTGGGTGGGCGGGTGGGTGGACAATTTTTCTATGTTAACTTACATGGGTGGGTACCTGGTTAAACGAATTTCTTACGTATGATATATTTTCTTACACTACTCCATAAATTTCGGAAATTCTCAAGCTATGATAGGGTCGTTCCAGAATGAGCCAAAACGCAACGAAGACGCGACGCGTCCCAATGCCAAAGATGTTAATATTAAGCTAAATTTCTGCATTAATATTTATTATTTTGACCAAAGGAAAATATGTTTAATAAATTTTATATAAATTAAGGGCATTTGAACCATTATGACGTCACAATGTGTGCAAAGCATGAGTTTTAAAATTGTGACGTCATAATGGTTCAAATGCCCTTAAGTATATTCTAAGAAATACAGAACTATACACTAAACACCAAACATTTATTTATTAATTCATTTTATTAGTTAAACAATTTTTTGCAATGCTACTAGTAAATTCTCGTAAAAAAATACCTAAGCAAAAACTTACGTAAGATAGGGGGGGTGGGTGGTTCAAAATCTTACGGAGCCTTACAGACGTGGGTGCATGGGTCAAAATTTAAGAAAAATGCCTTACGTAATTTATGGACGGTCC